TTGATCAGCTCTATGCTGTCTGTTGGCAATCTAACAACAAGAACTATACCTCAATAGAAGCTAGTTGGGTTTGGCCACTGTCTATGACTAAAGAAAACCACTATTTTCCCAGTAAAATTTCTCACTGAAAAATGTTCCATGACTTCCCACATATATTTTGATTGAACCAGTGAGAAGAAAAAATAGTAGTGTTTTCACATGGATAGTTAGGAAGCTTCCCAATGTTTAAATGAGAATCTGTTTTCTACCATGCGTTTTCCCAGTGAGCTGGTTCAGTGAGAAATTGGCGGGACAATCATGTTTTATAATGCAAATTTCCCATTGATTCGTGGTGGGGAAAACCTTTGCTTCTAATGTCACTCCATTTAGACCCGCGTTAGTCTGCAAAAAATTTAGGTCCTCTGCACTAGAAGTGTCCTTCATTATCGGCATACAAATCTCTAACAAGACTTAAAGACTCCTAGCGGACACTGGACCTAAAGAAGCATACCCAACTAATTGGTCTCGCTTATATGGATCTTTATCCATTGTGCCATATTTCCTCAGAGTTTGCATGGACTCCAAGAGGTTGTAGGTCTTTCAAAACAACTTTCTTCTGCATAATTGTATTGAAAATCCCTTCGCATGATTAACTTGTTAGTCGTTTGGCCATGAAAATTATTTACTTTTCTTGGAATAAATTCTCTTTATTTTAACATTAGTGTTTGGTTATTAAATTTTCAATCCAACTTGGAGTTGAATTTCAAATTTGGGTAAGTGCTCCAAACCTGTTTTCCAACTCCATCTTCAAAAAGGAAAAATAACTCCATCTTCGTAAATTCCAAATAAAGTGCACTCTTCTCTCCTAAATTTTTGACCAAACACAACTCCAACTTCATAAATTCCAAATAAAATGGAAAAATTGGAATCTATGGCCAAATGCCTACTTTTTTTTTTTTTTTTTGAAGCTGGTAACCGAGTACTTGGGTAGTACTGAAACCATAATTACATGAGAGCTCTAAAATTCTACTGTTTTCTATCTATAATACTCTATAAAACATCAATAATAGAAACAGTATCATTTGAGTAAATCTTTGATTACACCAAAAACGCAGAAGCAAGATGAAGTTCAACTCGATTTTCTGCACACCATTCTCTATATTCTTGAAACATTTGGAATTTCTCTCCTTCCAAATTGTCCACCAAATGCAGGTAGAGACAATACTTCTACTCTTGTCCTTTGCTTGTAAGCCTCTTATCCTCCATACTTTTTAGAGCTTCGGTCCAGGATATGCCTTTTAAGGTTTAAGATAATTCTCCACAGATGTGTTGTGAACTTACAATGTTGGAAGAGATGGTTCACTCTCTCTGCTGTTTCTTTACACAAAAAACAACTTGAACACAATGGAAGCCCTCCTCATCAGATTGCCTAGTGTAAGCTTACGGGCTGCTTCTTTAGCTAGTACCGCATAAAACAGGCTACTTGCTGAGGGATTTTAGTTTTCCAGATGTGTTTCCATGGCTAGTTGTCTATCTGCTGGTTGGAATGATTCGTCATTCTGTAAGTTGCATTGACCTTGAATAAACCCCTGTTGTTGCCTTGCCACCACAATACATCTTCACCTGTCTATAGCCCAGTAAATTGCTCAAGGCTACTATATGAATCAGCCACTCTTTGTAATTCCCAGTCATTGATTTGTCTTTTGAAAATGATGCTCCATCGTCCATCATTGTGGTGCCCACATTTTTGCTGAAGTCCTTCGTTGATGAAGGACTGAATTGAAGATATCTGAAAAGACAATTTCCAAATTGCCCACCTCATGTTGATTGTCCTTCCAAAAGCTAGTTTGCTTCCCATCTAAAACTTTGATCTTGGAATTGGCTTTCAACGGACCTCATAGGGCTCTAATGGATCTTCATAGGCTAACCCCATAAGGTGTAGTAACCTCCTTAATTATCCAGTTGTCTTCCTGTTCATATTTAGCTTTGATAAACTTTACCCTAAAAAGGCTGATTGTCACTGGTACACTTCCACAGCCATTTCATTTTGATTGCTTTGCTCCGAACCTTCAAATTCTTGATTCCCAGATTCTAACTTATTTCCTTTGACAAAGTTTTATGCATGCTGCTTCAAATTCTTGATTCCCAGATTCTGACTTGTTTCCTTTACAAAGTTTTATGCATGCTGCTTCCTATTGAGGTTCAGGTTCAGCTGGTCAGTAATAATTATGAGGTACACTTTGTCCCTGATTTTGTATCAACATAGGATGCACCATGTAGTGTTACACCAGGGGCCTCAAGGTTGCATTGATTTTTGGGTAATATAAAAGGTAACAAATGGACCATTGAGTTGTAAGATGTGGTGAGGTTCTGTTTAAAAAAGTCAATATGATCATGAGTGTTGGGATGTAAGTTGATTTTCTGCATAATTAAGAATAAATGCTTAAACAAAATTTTACAGTACTATAATCCCTCATAATTTAAGCAGGAATTTATATGTTGTTATCAGCCGGATAAAATGTGAAATATGAATATGTTTCTAAACAATACATGCATAAGAACACCTAAAATGACATAAATTCTTCCAAAGTAAGGCAGCTTATTTAAAGTAAGTGTAAGCCCCCTTACTTTAAAATAAAGCGTCTTGCCTCTTTAATAAAAGAAAAATCATTTTTGATTCTTGATAGGACTACATAGTTGATGTTATTAATAAATTTTAATTCATCTTTTCCTTTTAAAGCTAAAACTAGTATGTTAAAGACATAATTAAGTAAATAACTGTGTGAGCTAGCTTTTGCAATTGAGTATGCCTTAAGATCATTTTCTTATATGGTATCAGAGACCCATCTCAATTCTTATGTTACCCAATGTTGGACCCCAATGTTATATTCTGTCCATGATCAAGATGCCTTGGGAGTGCGGGAGCATTAGAATAGTCCTACATTGATTGTAGATAGGGTAATTGGTCTCCTTATATGGTCTTGGGCAGTCTCACCTCATGAACTAGTTTTTGAAGTTGAGTTAGGCCTAAGGTCTATTTCCTAACATTGTAGATGTGGACTAATTAGTTACGCTAATTCTTCAATATGGTATCATATCCTTGCAGCAGGAATAAATCAATGGTGATCAGATGTGTATATTCATGGGATTGTAATGTCTTCATTTCTGGTTTGGTAGCTTGTCATACTAGCCCATGCCTTTACAGGTTCTTCTCTGTGCAGGAATCTGTCCAAGCTGATAGGGATGATCCTTCTCAACCTTTGGTTACAGCACCTTTTGGACATGCTTCACAGGTATCCAGAGATGATAAAAGGCTTATGTTTCGGTGAATACATTGTATGCTCCTCTTTTGTGTCAGTTGTGGATTTAGGTACTAGTCAGGCAAGGTGTATTGTTTTTAAAATTTTTGTAAGTGGTTATATTTTGTCTTTTCTGGAACAGGAAATTGTGAACCTGTTGCTTTCTGGTGAAGCTGTTGCCAATGTGTTTGACGGGAGGATGGATTTGGGTGGTGGCATGTTTGTGAAGGGTATCTCTACAACAGTTGAAGTTGGATTTATTACTTTGCTAGAGTCCCTAAACTTCTGTAAAGTTGGCATGCATTTGAAATGCCCGACATGGCCAATATGGGTTGTTGGCAGTGAATCTCATTACACAGTCTTATTTGCTCTAGATACAAAAGTTCAGGAGGAGAATGAACTTGAAGGTAAGGAAACAAAGATCCGTAGAGCTTTTGATGCTCAAGATCAGAGTGGAGGTGGTGGATTCATTAGTGTGGAAGGTTTTCATCAAGTCCTTAGGGATACTAATGTGAATCTTCCAGCTGACAAGCTTCAAAACCTCTGCAGCAGTGGATACATTGTATGGAGTGAATTCTGGCAGGTCCTGTTGGACTTGGACAAGAGTTTGGGAGGGCTGAAAGATCCTAGTGGATTAATGGGGAAAAAGGTCTTTGATCTTTACCACTTCAATGGGATTGCAAAATCAGTTATGAACGGAAACCAGGTTTCATCTGGAAATGATTTTCCGGTACAAAGGCCTAGACTCACTAAGCTGAGGGTTTCAGTTCCCCCAAGGTGGACGCCAGAGGAGTTCATGTCTTCAGGCCCAAGTACAAGTGATCCTGCCGGTAAGGATTCTATCACTGAAGTTTCAAAACCAGAACCTTCTCAGCATGCTCCTTTAGTTGACTGCATTCGGACACGCTGGGCCCGAGCCACATGTACTTGGGAAGGTGATCCACCAAGCATTGTTTGATTGGTTAATTGATAGTCTTAAACTGCCACCTTGTTTTCTGGGGATTATCACGTAGAGCAGGAGTCATTGAAGTGTGACACCAGGTTTACTTCCGAAAAAGGTGAAAGCTTTCTGGGCAGGAAGATTCTTTTCCTCATGGCAGTTTTCCATCATGAACATAATGCAGTACCATTTTCAACTGTGTGATATTGTAACTTCAAGATTCTAGTTTGATTTGGAGTAGTCCAATTCTGAGGGTAAGAGAGGCAGTACTGTCATTTCGCATTGATTTTTTCGCCTTAAGCTGTTGATTAGGTTTTTTCTTCCCTTTTCCTCTGAAAGGGAGATAAATAAGCATCAGATTGGTCATTAATTATTGTTGTAACTTTAAAAAGCCTCTCATCTTTGCGATTGATTAGGGAAATATCTTATTCAGAGAAGTGGTCTCAAATACATGGTGTCTATTACTATATTTGTTGATGGATGAAATTCTTTAAATCTCTCTGAATACTACTACTATATTTTACCTACACGTGAGTGGGTTGGCAAGTTTGCACTTGCATCCCAACTCACCGCCAATAGTAAAACATAAAGAAATTTAAGAAAAGGAGTGTACTCAAATTTCCATGATAAGAAATTTCATTTTGCAAGTGAGAGAAGCCCAAATGACATTGCAAGTGTTTAGATTGAAGATCACGCAGAGTGGAAGTGCCAAACACTGGTCTTGCTAGCCCAGTTTTATCTGAAACGAAGAGCTGTTGAACCTTAAATTGTTCATAGAAGGAAATACAGGGCTAAAAAAGCGTAGCTAAGATAAGAACCAAAATCCCCGAGAATAATTATCACGAGGTCAACGGTCATGTGGAGAGGCAAGCTGAGGTCTCTTGAGAAGAAACCTTGCAAAGACCAAAGACATTCTATGATAAGTTGGTAAGTTTTACACGATACCATCTAAGAATAAAAAACGTCGTCAAGACGAATGCTGAAATGCTGCTCCATTGATGGCATTTCTCTGAGTAATCCAGAATGGATTGTTACTTTACACAATTTTTGCCAGAATCCACAGAAAGTCACACAGCTGGAACAGTCTTCGAAACGGATGTACAACTTTCAGACCCATAGGCTTCCAAAGGCTTCTTCAAGTGCCCTTTTCCTGCTTATTTCTAAACTCCAACCCCCAGCCTTAGCAGCCCTTTCAGTTCTTAGTTTCATCTTTTCATCATCTTCGTACTCTCCCCCTAGCATATCTGGAAATGATCCAACTGGGAGAGGTTGTGTTGGCCGTGGCTGAGCTATGCTTCCGGCTATTGCAGGGGCATAGTGCCCTTGTGGACCTGTACTGGACCCTGCCTGAGGCCCTTGGCCCAAAGCCTGCAGAAGTGAAGATAAAAATTGGTTACCAATAATATCAGATTATCTACATGATCACAATTTAAAAAGTGATTCAATATGAAAAAACCATAATCAGAGGTGGATCTGGGATTTGAACTTTATGGGTTCAGATTCGTAAACCCTATCACTTCCATCAAATTCACAAGGTCTAGAATCTATTATTATACATATTTAGTGAATTTATTAACGCATATACTTAGCCTAAGCCAAAATCTATGGGTTCGAACCCATAGCTAATACATTGGATACACTCCTGACCATAGTTATAAACCAATTACATTCCCTCCTTTTCATTTGATCTTCTCATACACTGCTGTACAGGAACCATCACTATCCATTGTCCCACTCTTACTATTTGCAACCTCACTCTCTCCATTTTCAAACTCTCCAACTATCTGGTTGGTAGAGGAGAATTCATCAATTAGGACGACATCAAGCTAGCTACTCATTCAGGGATTAGTTTTTTTCTTTCTTTTTGGTACTGGACAAAGTTTACAAGGAAAAAGAAGTTTAAAGTGATAGTGTCGCAGAAATCTTACCAATCACATCATGAACATTTTGCATATACTTAATCAAAAAGTTGATGGACAATGATGTGTCTGCTTTGAACAGATCTTGAGTGCACTGAGGTTTTCTCTTGCTAACATGGTTGATGGCATACTATGCCATAAAAGGATACTGTTGGAGTTAATTCCTTTATTCATTCCTGTAGCATGTTTGACTTCTAAATTCTTTCTACCTAATTGGTTAAACACAATCATGCAAAAGTCTTGTAGCATGTAAAAGTTACATGCTCTGCACGTATCCAAAAATGGGACGGCCCAACCACAAAAAATCTCCAAGCCTAACGCGATTCAGGTGTATTCATAGATGAACTTTGGGATGAGATCATGATGCTTAGAACATAAGAATCAGAAATCACCAGAGCATAAATTACTGAAGAGCTTCAATTTTTCTACTACAAACCCAGAAGCAGTTATCAACACAACAAGACAGATACAGAGGAAAATTCAAAAGAGACGGGGAAATAATGGTGAGGGAGAAAGGGGGCCCAAGAATCGTGAGGAACAACAAATTACGATTGGCAATTCAAGTACGGGAGGAGAGATATGGAATGTGGAAGTAGCATACCAATAGCCCCAGAAACATCATCAGATAACATCAAAAAGGGGAGGTCCACATCAGCTTGGGTGCGACAGAACATATGAAGCTAGGGCAAATGTTTGGACCTGATTTCAAAGGTCACAAGGAGGAATCCCTCGACTCTTGAGCTACATATGCAAGTAGATGCTTGTAGACAAACTAGTAAGATGGAGCCATCCTTAGAAATCAGGAAAAACAGGTTTAAAGGTGCCAATGAATTGAAGAACTTAATTACTTCTGATATTTAAGTTTAAAAATAGTGAGGGAAAAACAAGGGGAAAGGGTGTTCACAGTCTGATCCATGAAGCTAAACCTGATGTCATGGAATATTAGGGGATTAAATGATGGGGAAAAAGAAGAGTGGTGAAGAACTGTATTGAGCAATGGAGGGCTGATATAGTTTGTCTTCAGGAAACAAAGTTACAGGGGAATCTGCAAGAGATATGAAACAATTACAGGGAGGGAGGAGTTAAATTTGCCTGTCTAGAAGCCAATGGTACCAAGGATGGAATCATCATGCTATGAGATTGTAGAGTATGGAAGGGAGAGGTACCACAAACAGGGCTACATACTTCTAACTCGCTCTATTGAACCTTTGCTCCAAAACTTCAATTGCCACATTTCTATGCTCCAAACTGTAAGGTAGAAAGAAGAGAGGTGCAGGATGAGCTAGGAGCTGTGAGAGGGCTAATGGAGTGTTCCTAGGTAGTATGTGGGGATTTCAATGTGCGTAGGTTTCCAATGAAGAAGATAAATTGTTAAAGGACCTCCTGCCATGATAGGACTATCAGATACCATAGAAAACTTGGAAATCATTGACCTTCCTTTATAAAGAGGAAGTTATACATGGTTCAGAGGAGACACTGATAATGCAGCTTCAAGGATACACAGTTTTATCCTCTGCAGAGCGAAGTGAACAATTTAGCAGGGTGAAGCAGACTACTCTCTAGAGATTGACATCAAATCATGTCCTTATAGCCTTACAGTGTGGTCCTTGGGACCAAAACAAATCTTCAAATTCGAAAACTGGTGCTTAACACTGAGGGGTCCGCAGATAGAGTCAGAGCATGGTGGAACTCATTTACATTCCGGAGAAACCAGATTACTTATTAGCTTGCAAATTAGAAGCACTGAAAGACAAGTTAAATGAGTGGAGTAGGGAAGAAAAAGGAAACCTGTCTTTGCAAAGATCCACTTTGCTAAACAGAATTACAGTTATGGATTCTATAATTGATTGCAGAGCTTTAGACAGAGGAAGAGGCAGCTGTGAAGGCAACAACATTTATGGAATTTGAAGAATTGCTCAAGAATGAGGAGATTGACCGGAGACAATTATGTAAAATGTTGCAGCTGAAAGAAGGTGACAACAACGCTAAATTCTTCAACAATTCAACCAATGCCCACAAAAGAAGTAATTACATTGATCTCCTAGAAGTTCAAAGGGGTACACTGAAGGAACCAGACAGAGTAAAAGAGGAAATCATACAATTTTATAAGAAACTGTATACAGAAACAGAGAGGTGGAGACCTGCAGGGAATGCCCCAAAATGCCCCCACAATATCAGAAGAAGAGAAGGCACAACTACAAGCAAGTTTTGAGGAACAGGAAGTGTTCAGTTGTCTGAAGAAGTGTGCTGTGGATCCTAGACTTGATGGGTGTACTATGAATTTTTTCATCAAATGCTGGGATGTTTTAAAGCGGATGTCATGGATGCTTTCCACAACTTCTTTGAAAATGAGATGTTTGAAAAGAATTTCAATGCCACATATATTGCTTTGATTCCAAAGAAGAAAGGGGCTAAGGAGCTAAAAAACTTTAGACCAATTAGCTTGATAGGAAGCTTTATAAGCTTCTGTCTAAAGTGCTGATTGAGAGGTAAAGGGGTGATGGACAAGTTACTAAGTTAGTAGACTCTCCATTAATGACTTTCATCCTAGGGAGACCGATTATGGATGAAGTGTTGATCGCCATTGAAGCAGTAGACAAGGCTGGCTCAAAAGAAACCTGGAATCTTATGCAAATTGGATATTGGAAAAGCTTATGATCATGTGAATTGAGGGTTCCTGCTCAACACTCTAAGGAGAATGGGATTTGGGGAAAAATGGATTAGATGGATCAGTTTATGTATTTCCACTGTGAAGTTTTCAGTACTGATTAATGGTACACCTGAAGGCTTCTTTGCAGCCCAAAGGGATATAAGACAAGGGGATCCCTTGTCCCTTTTTTTGTTTATCCTAGCCATGGAGGGTCTAAATCATATGATTAATACTGCAAAAGGTTATGGATGGATATCAGGTTTTGAGGTGTCTATAAGCAGTGGAGATAGTCTGGAGGTGACACATCTCCAATATGCTGATGATTCACTGATATTCTGTGAGGCAGAGGAGGAGCCTTTAAGATATTTAAGAGTAATTCTAGTACTTGTTGAAGGTATCACAGCTTTGTATATAAACTGGGGGAAGAACCATGTATTTCCCATTGATCCAGTCCCAAGCATTGATCTTCTGGCCTGAATTCTGGGAATGAGAAATGGGAGCCTTACCCTCTACGTACTTAGGGATGCCTTTGGGGGCTAATATCAAGGTCAAAAGAAATATGGGATTGGTTCTGGAGAAAAGTGAAAGAAAGCTATCTACATGGAAAGCCTAGTACTTGTCTATAGGGGGCAGATTCACTTTGATCAATGTTGTTCTTGATGCCCTTCCAACTTATATGCTTACTTTGTTTCAATTCCTGCCGGTGTTGTACAGAGGCTAGATAAGATTAGGAGATCCTTTTTATCGCAAGGAAACAAAACCAGAACAGGTTATCATCCTTTCAAGTGGAAAGTGCTTATACAAACTAGAAACAGGGAGATCTTGGAAATGAAAAAATTGAAGAACCCTAGCAAAGCTTTGAAAATGAAATGGTTGTGGAGATATACTCAAGAGTCACACTCTCAGAGAAAATGTGATCAATTGAAGTATGGTGAAATGGATGGTTGGGTTACTAAAGAAGCAAATAACCCATGTGGGGGTTACTGTCTGGAGATCAATCAGAAACTGGTGGCTCATCTTACTTAGACACACTATAATTGCATTCAACGATGGTAGAAGGAACTGTCTTCTTGAAAGACAGGTGGTTAGGTAATAGAATCCTATCAATAAAGTTTCCAAATTTGTTTAATTTTAGCTTTGCATCAGGACAAAACTGTGGCAGACATGTGGTCTCCTCAAGGTTAGAATTTTGTCTTCAGAAGAAATTGAATGACTGGGAAATTCCAAGAATGGTTCGACTACTTAAAACTCTTGAGTCTTGAATCCTTCCAAGGGCTAAAAGTTAGGATGGACGGATTAGGGTGGAATGGAAACAGCAAAGGGGCATACAAAGTAAGTTCAGGGTACAAGTTACTAAATGTGACTGGGCACCAGGAACAACATCTCGCCATGAAAACAAATTTGGAAAGCCCAAACACCTCTGAAGGTGGCATGCTTCTCATGGTTGTTAGCAAAAGAGGCAGTTTTGAGACATGAAAATCTAAGAAAGAGGAACATCATCTTAGTTACACATTGTTGTTTGTGGAGAGGCAGATGAGACAGTGGGGCATCTGTTCCTACATTGCAGAATTACTAACCAACTATGGAAGATTCTTATCAATCTCAGTTGCATACAATGGACAATGCCATAGCAAGATTGTTGACACTTTTTACAGTTAGGAGGAAGCTGGAATTGGAGCCAGGAACAGGAGCATTTAGAGAACCATTCCAGCATACATTTGGTGGACTGTCTGGGAGGAGAGGAGTGCTAGAAGTTTTGAAGATAGGAGTAGGACAGTTCAGAGGATCAAAACATATTGTATTTTGCTTTTGTGTTTTTGGTGTACCTCCCATAGATGCAGAAGTTATCATAGAGATTTTAGGGTCATACTAAGATCAGGAGTTTCTTTGTCTTCGTACTAACTTCTCACTTGTTGTAAAAGGTTTTTTTCTGCACTAAGTGTTGGTTTATAATACAAATGTTACTTTCTCAAAAAATATAATTGTGAAGACTACCCCTCTCTGCATTTTTTTGGCTGATCTGGATATAGACTATATAATTTTTAAAGTTAAAGAAAATTCAATCAGCATTAGATCTCTCTATACTTCAGGTGTAGAGAGTATATGATATATTTTTGATATAAGGTAAACAATATTATTAATAAAAGGGAAAACCCTTGTATTCAAGAGGTATACCATAAAATGGAAAATCTACAAAAGGACATGATTCTCTACGAAAGACACCCAATCATCTATACAAGTTGGAATCTCAACGATGCACCAAAAGCAATAACAAGCAAAAGGCTATCCCTCAAATTTACAATTTTTTTTTTTTGGATAATGGTAACATATACAAAATCATTTTCAATCCCCTCTAAAGCTTTCCTATTTCTCTCCCTCCAAACAACTCACATAAGAACTAATAAAGCAACCTCCATGCCCATTGTCTTCTACTCCTACGTCTGCCAGCACAGCTATGCATGGCATTACCCACTAGTTACCATTATCAAAAAATAAAACATGGCATCACCCACTGTATGCCAAAACAATTCAAGATCACCCTCCACAAACCTGACACCACCTTACAATGCACCAAAATATGATTAACTTCTTTGCCCGAACATTTACACATATAACACCACCTAGATAAGTAATATTTCTCTTCTTCAGATTCTCAGATGTCAGAATTGCTCCCCTTGATGCCAGCCTGGCAAAAAAAATCCTTCGTATGCGCCCTAGGAATCCAAGTCAATGAATGTGGGAACTGTGTCTCCTCTCTCACCCACAAACTCTAGTAAAGAGATCTGACTAAGAATAAACTATCACTCTCAGCGCCTATCTCCATGAGTCATTATTGAAGTGAGACCTGATTTCCCTGTAGAGAAACTCCATTAACCTTTGAAACTCATCCAGCTCCCAGTCTTGTAGATTTCTCCTGAACATGAGATCCCAAAGTACTCCCCACCTCCCACCCCATCATTCTCCCTACAAATCCGATGAACTTTCAACTCCCTCTGGTTTGAAACTCTACACATTAGGAAATCATATTGTAACAGATAGATGGTTTAAGTTTGAGGAGTCTTGCTATAAATCCACACATTGTTAAGACACACCAACTTTGTGTAACATTAATTATATATTCACTTACATATTTATTTAATGAAAGAGGTTTGGCTCATGCATATGAAAGTTGGAAGTTCGGTGCACTTGGTTCATGGAGTGTGTGTTATGCGCCATGGCCTAGATGTGTGCCATTTTTTTTGCTTGTGGCAGCCATGACCTTGCTATAGTTTATACCAGTATGAAAATGATGTATATGTCATGCTTTAACCAAGGTCAAGAAGGAAGGCGAAATGTGGCAAAAGAAACCCAAACAAGATAGTAGTTAGTTCGGTCTTTAGTCAAAGAATGGATTCTTTTACTCTGTGATTTGAGGAAACAGGGGATTTTTAGTCAAACTAAAATCATACAACCAGTTCCAAGAAAAAAAAGAAGAAAAATCATACAACTTTGGCTTCTCTGGCTTTTAGCACATATTTTTTCAGTTTATACTAGGCCAGTAATTATCACTGTACTCTATAAGTCATGCATTGCTTATTTCAAACAATTTTTTGAATTGCTATATAGGACTTCTATTCCAATTACTACTGATTTTCTGGAAAAAAGTGAAACTGAAAAGAAAAAATAAAGTTGGAGAAAACTGTTCTAAACTATGACAGACTCGCCGTGGAAATGATCCTAACGCTTATTCATCAACATGGAATAAAGAAGAATGCAGAAGCTAAAGACACTGTTATGCTGCTGCTGATTACTATGAAAAGTTACTTAGATATTTGATCATGTCACACCAGAATTAATAAATGAACATAAATCTTAAGAGTGAGAATCATTAGTCAACTCACATCTCCATCGGACTGTGCAGGCTGTCCCTTGCTGGCTGCCAAGGCTGCTGCATATTCTTCAGCCTAGTTCACCACAAAGCAAATTAAAAGAGCAGTTTACAAAATACTAATGCTTTGCATGCAGCATTTACTAGTTACTACAAACTCATTTCCATTTGCAATCAGAGCACCTTATGGACAAACCTTACGTGCTTGAGCAATCATGATTTGTTCTGCATTTTCTCTCTGGTACTGTGCAATCTTTGCCTCAAAAGCAGGAACATCAATGCCTTCAATTAAATTGAATACTGCAAACAATAGCATTCTGTTAAGCAAAATTATACGACTTCCAACTTGAACAAATCAGTGAAGAGTAACGCTTACTCATATCCTCAACTTCCTCTAGATAATCGTTGTATTCACGCAATGATGGAAAATTCTCTTCTCTTTTATTATAGCTGCAAAATTACATTGAAGTACATAGAAGTTTATAGACTAAATAGATAAACAAAAGAGTTCACCAAAACAGAAGTAAAGTCTCCATTACTAGGTTAAAATATTTTCTGTCACTACAACACAAATAGTTTACAAGTCAAGCTAATACTTAATTTCACTCAAAATCGCCTCCTTCCATTATTTAGCAACCACAAAATCAAAAAAAATTAAGTTTCAGCCCTGCAAACTTCACATGTAATAATTACTGATTAATTTTAAACTGTTGCAATACAGTAAAAAAGAAGGCGATTAAATAGAATAGATAAAACAGAGGCGAAGATAGATTACATGTTGGCAATGCGTTTTCTGATGGCCATCTCTTTGGAAAATGCATTGGTTGAAGCTACCACCATTATTAGAGCCGCTTTCGAACCCTAAAAACCAACTCGATAATTTGTCCTCGTCTTCTACATCTACGTACGGCAAGAGAGATGACGGGACCGGCGGTTGATGGAAACTCCGGCGAAATATAGCCTGCAGAAATGGGGGAAGTGAAGTGAAAAAGTGGTGGCTGAGAAAAATTTAATCGAAAAACGACGCCGTAAGAAGGAAATGACTTCCATTTTGTTTGCCTAAAATAGTCCCTAATGCTTGTGTCTTGGTTCAAAATAGTCCTTATGTTTATTTATATATACAATAGAGCACAAATAGTTCTTCAAGTATACAAAATTAATGCACTCTTAATCATGACTTTGAAAAACTGTAAAATTTATACGATTTAATACTATACGCAAATTCTATAATATTTTGGCATTCCCTGTTTTCATTTTGAAAAACAAATGAAATGTACTCTGATTTGCTAAATATGATAAAGGATTGGGTGAATATATATATATACTAGATATAGGTGTCTGTGATAGCACGGATCCAATATCTTAGTATTTTTTTAATTTTAATTTATGTTATATATGCAGAATTTAGAAAGTTGAATAAATTTAATATGAATTTTAGATATATAAGTGGTTAATTACTTTTTGTTTGTGCAAATTTATTGTGAAGAGGTCCATTAAGATGTCTATAATTAAAGTATTTTTTCGTCATCGACCGTTAATTTTTACTCAATGTAATTATAAAATATAAACAAATATTACCGACATTCAAAATAATAAAGCAATAACTAAAGAATATGAATTTAAAACTAAAAGTCATAGCTAAAACGGATTTCATAATTTCAAAAAAATTATACACAAATTAAATTATAGCAGAACAAAAAAAGTAATTTAAAAAAAAATTAAAATTCGAAACACGCTAAAGCAGGCACGTCGATGAAGACGTGTGCCTGTTTCAGCGTGAAATCTTAAATTTAAAATTAAAAATCATAGCTATAAAGGATTTCATAATTTCGAAAAAATTATACACTCATTAAGTTAAAGTAGAACAAAAGAAATAATTTTTTTTTAAAAAAATAATTCTGTAACACGCTGAAGGAGGCACGTCGATTTTAAAAGTTAGAGCTAAAAAGGATTCCATAATTTTGAAAAAATTATACACTAATTAAATTAAAGTAGAACAAAAGAAATAATTTTTAATTGTTTTTTCAGCAACATGCTGAAGCAGGCACGTCGATGAAGAACTAAAAGTTAGAGCTAAAGAGGATTCTATAATTTCGAAAAAATTATACACTAATTAAATTAAGTAGAACAAAAAAAATAAATTTTTGAATTTTTTTTTCGAAACACGCTGAAGCAGGCACGGAGACGTGCCTGCTTCAATAACTCCCTCTTATATAATAAGAGAATATATACTAGTTCAATTAATACAAATAAGTAAAAAAAAGAAATTCTAAAAGAAAACAATTAGAAGTAGAAAAAAATATATGGAGATTAATATAAACTTTTCTTCATTTTTTTTTCCTGAGAGGATCTAATATAGTTAAATTTCTTTACAATAGCTTAGCTTGTTGATATTCTTTTTTACCATTTATAATAATGGGCTATTATATATCTAAAATAACTTTGGATATTTAAATTTATTCCTTTATCATAGATATAAAAATTATCTTTTTTTATTATTATTTAATGAGTATTATATAAGATTTCTCTAAAAGCAACATTTCTTTGAGTCTTGGCTTTTAAATTAGAAATTTGCTTAGAAATACTTTATCAATTTCATTAGCATAATATCTAGTGTTTAGATATAAGATTTAAAGATAAATATTTCTATTCAGTCAATTTTGTATTTCATTCTTTCCATATATGCCACATAACATATATTATAACATTAGCAATATAAGAGAGTCGTCACATATTGTTCATAATATCATTATGTCATATAAATTGTAATAATTTGTCATTTAATATACAATTTGGTGTGTTTATAATTCATTGCATATTCCATTCGCATCTGAATTGGCTAAATCTAGTATAGTGGGTCTTGTTTCGATGCGGGGAAAAATCTTTTTAAAAGGCATCTCGGCGAAAGATGACTGAGAACCATAAGACGAGTGTCAATACACTAGCACATACTGCTCCCATAGACACGTATGATAAGGGGGTGTGGGGACAACCATGCCACCACTTTTACCAGATATGGGTCCGGACGACCTAAGAACCAGCCACTAAAACCCAACCCTTAAGAGGCTAAGGTCCAAGGGGCAACCACAGGAAGTAAGCTTCACCTGTAACCTTAAGGAACACAGAAATATATATATATAACATATGAATTACTTTTATTTATTATATAACCTTAAGAATACAGATTTACTAGCCTTATATGAATTAATACCATATATATATATATATATATATATATATATATATATATATATATATATATATATAACATATGTTTTTATTTATTCTCGAAATTCAAAATAGACATGTATACTTACTCGATCAACATCAATAATAACTACTTTTATTCATTATTTTGCTTAACAAACAATTTGACATGTACAAAGACTTTGACTACTTTCCGAAGCAGCACAAGTACAACTATGAGGCATTTTACTTGCTGGCCAGTGAGATAGAGCTAGAATTCCACAATCAATATTAGCACATACGTCATTAGCTGTGAAAGTTCCTGGGCAAAATGTAAGATCACCTAATACAAAACAATGAGAAGACTACATATTAAACGATATGATTAAAAAGTTGAATGATGAAAATAAATATTTGAACGCGATTGTAGATAAAATAATTCCATATGCATTGAAGGAAAAAAGGCATACCTAGTGAATGGTTAAACAAAGTGAAAAAAATTGTCATAGCGAAAAGAAAAGACATAATGAAACTCTTCATTTTTCTTCACTATTGAACTTTTGTATGATATGAAAGTATGAATTGTTGATACCATTTAGAACCTTATATAGGACCTAAAGAAAGATATGAAATTATGGTATTAATTCATATAAGACTAGTAAATCTGTAATTTATAAATTACTTACCAAAAAATACAAATGAATTTATGGTATTAATTCATATAAGGCTAGTAAATCTGTATTCTTAAATTACTTGCTTATAAGGTATAAATGAGCTTAGGATAATAAGGCAAGTAGATCTTATATTTAAATTCATTGCTACAAAAATGCAAATGACACTATGGTATTTATTTAAATAGTCTAGTAATCATGTAATATTGAGTTACTTGCCAAAAAAAATGACACAAAATAACTATTTTGTGCCCATTGGGTACCTACCAAGATAATTGTGATAGTGTATAGATTATTAAATTTTAATTTTTTAATATTATACAAATTCTATGATATTTACGTTGATTCTTGCTTTTTATTTAGTCAGAATACCTTGAGATCCTCTTAAACTTGACATGTTTTATACAATACTTAAGACGAGAATTTAGAGTTTATATATTCTATAAACAAAACTTATTAGTTTCTTAATAAATTATTCATAAATATTAAATAATAAATACATTTTTAACACAAATAAAAAATCTATGTGAAAGCTACTAATTTTGTTACATTCATAGGTGATAACTTTGCTTCTTTACATTACATATTCATTTTTTTTTCTAAGCCATATATGCCTCTCCTTTGATCTTTGAGTTTCGATAACCTCGATTATTTGACCTATTTCACCGAATGAAATTACATTGTCACTATCTATTTTTTTTTAAAGTCATGATGACAGTAATTATAAAACAAATCAAAATACAATAATCAAATAATGTGATTAAATAAGTCTTGACAAAAATAATGCAGAAAATCACTTTGAAAATATAACAAAAGATAAATCATGATCCAAGATCAAGTTTAACAAGTCATAAAAGACTAAAAAAAATACAAATAATATATATTGTTTCAGACACAATAACGTCGGAGGATTATCAACCCACTTATTTTATTCTTTTCAAATTCAGCTCAATCCATTTATTTGGTACCTTTATTCAAAATGGTCAAAAAAACACTTCTAGTGTCTATCGAGTAATTTTGTTGAATAACTCTATTCCTATGGAACCTAATAACTCCACATGTCGGGGGGACATTTAATGTATGGAGGATTGTTTAGATGTTGGTTATGAGCGAGATATAGTATAACTCCATAGTCTTAATAATATTAACTAGTAATCTGAAAGAAAGTTGACAATCTAAAAATGCTTAAAGGTTCAAAAGTTTAACTGTTAATGCTTTTTGCTATTTAGTTACTATGAATCTTGTGACTTCATATCAAATTTTAAAACTGCAACCACCCCCCCCCCCCCCCCCCCCCCCCCCCCTTGTCATCCCTACAAGCAAAATGAGAAGTACTACAGCTAGCGTTAGTACCGGCCATTAGATGGTAGTAGCTAGGACATTGTTAGATCGAGCCATGACTTTTGTCCAATCGATTAGAACTTGGCAAATCGTCTTATTGTTGGCATTGCAAAGAAAGCAGCATGCATTTTCTGCAATTCCAATGTGATGTAAGTACGAGTCGTGGAGAGTCTGTAATGGCAACAGAACCAAGATAAAAGAAATAATCTTGCAAGGTGAGGATTGATGAGGAGAAATCCTAAACATGGCTTGCTGCTACTACCAATGTATCTACAAAAGAAAATAAAGGTCATTAATGAATCAACTTATTATGATTAGGAGAATATTATGATCAGTATAAGAATCAACCAACCAAAACATACTGCAGAACTTGTTAAAATAATTACATATCTCAGTAAAAGGCATAGCTATAAAGGAAATAACTTCTTTCTTTTCTGCTAATTTGAGAACACTTTAACATAATCATCACATATGCACATTGACTTTTCTTTAGAAGTATGACTGAGAAGAATAAAAGAAACATACTAAGAGCTTTTATTGGTTTATGATGTGGCTCTTCACATTTTCCTGGTGAACAATCCATTTTGTTCTTTCATTACAGCTCGATTAACACCAGTTGTGGATATATTGAGTAAGATAATCCTTTCTCGAACTCCATAACATAGCATTTCTAATTAAAAGGTTGTATAGTGAGGGGGAAAAGGGCTCAACTGCTCAAGAAAAATAAAATGGTTTGGGAGTGGTTTGGTAGGTCAATCGTCTGTCTGTCATGCACACATTGTGCTCCTATCCAAGTTTGACCAATTCTCTTAGCTTAGTGCAACCATATGGTTGAATAT